GACCCCCCATTTAGGGCGAAGAAGGAACCTAATGCCAAGGTTTTACATGAGGATCTATGTACACAATAATGGAGTTTAGAGACATGTGAACCAATTTGCTGTAAAATAGATACATCTGATACTGTCCAGACAAACTTATTAGCTTTTCTAAATGTATTCTGATTGCCCGCGGCAAATAATGCAATTCCAAATGGTAGGATTCGTTAATTTACATAATTTGACACAAGCTAGATAAAACAAAATAGAAATAATCAAAACTTCCCTGGAAGGTATCAGATTTGTGAAATGTGTCCCATCTGTAGGAAATCATGAAGACTTTCCCTCAATTCAGAAACATCTACGCTAATCTCCAGGGGGGGTTTATGTAATTATCATACTATACAGGGGGCTATGCTTTTCAAATAGTGATCAGCACTACAAAATCCTCTCAGTGTGTGTTCTAGAAAATAAGATTTGTGCCATGATCATGTTCATTGATTTTGTTTCACTGTAAAGTTTTTTGTCCCAACTCTACAAAGTGCCCACATGTAATGTGCATTGACGGTCCGAACTGCCCAGTAGTGTCTATGGAAACCAGATTTAATATTCTGATAATTTAGAGATCATCAGGCATATGAGCATAGTGGTGCTTTAATACCTGCTAACTTTACTGGATGAAATATGTGAAGAAATCATGGGTCTGTTGGAGGAAACTGTCCGAGTTTAAAGACATTACAGGACAGGAAGTGGTAACAAATGTCAACAATTGGGCACAGACAAAAGGTCTTTTTTTTACTCCCAATTTCCCATGTGTTTTGTCATTTAGGAAACATGCAGGGAGGAAATGTGTTTTTCTGTTGTTTGTTTGTTTTTTTCTTGTTTTTTTCCCTACTTGCGTCAATAGAGGACAAAGATACAGTATATCAAAGTTGGTGTTCTGGTGACTTCTCTATATATTGCTGATATTGCAAAGCCATTTTCTTGTTACTGTTGCACCCACCTCAAGGAAATCTACCGATCAGGAGTGCAATCGGACACATGCAGTTGTTTCTCTTCTGGATACCTTCAAGACAGCAGGTGGCCCATGTAGTGCACTGCATTTTTCATCTCAATCCCTTCGAGGTGTTGTTCCTAATATTTTTCAAACGCTGCCAACTGTGGGTTATTTTTATGCCAATTGACACCAAATACAGAACTGATTTTTGCACCTGCTGACCAGCACTGGGCACTGCTACATACTTATGACCACTGCACTCTGTACACTTCAATGTGTTTAAAAGGGATTATTGTCTGTGTTCTTATTACACTGTGAATGGTTTCTATAGAACATTGCATTATATATCTGCTCTTGGATTCATGGTCGGGGACTTAGCTTCACTGCTTATACTCCCAGCACCAACTGTAATGCTCCTTTGGATTTTGCGGGCCTAAGTGGATCACAGCTGCGGACCTATGCTTTAAGTAGTTCTGGGTAATGGGTATGGCAATCAGGCTGGGATCCCAGGCGTCTCTCTCAAGGTTAACTGAGAGTGAGGGATACATGCATCATTTGCCCCAGAACTTAGTTACATAAGAAGAGGTTATTTAGCTCATAACCTATTTTAGGTATCAGGTAACTCAAGGAAAAGAGGTTTGGATCGCTTATTCACCACATAAGCCTTTTGATTACAACGAAATAAAAAATAGAAATAATAAAGGATAATACTAGATGACAGTCCCAGGGTATTTATGACAGTAGCACCGTGCTATATTCAACCAGATCCTGGTATAGGCCAGGTGTCGGCAGATAGTAGCTTCTATCACCGTTCCAAGCAAAGTCTATGCAATACCTGCCAGCAGACTAGGTAACATTGCCCACAACTAAAAGTACTTGCGCTTTTAGAGGCTGGGATCAGCAGGGTCTCCTCCGGAGTAGTCTGCGGTTGGGGAGGCCACCGCAGCAGGGTTTCCTGGAGTGGAGAGGTAGCAGCTTGGGGGTAGTAAGAACGAGGCTCCTGGCGTGGATGGGGCATCAAACCCAATAGTGGAACGCTCTAACAGCGTTCAGGCGAACCTTATATACCCCTCGAACGCAGAAGTGGAGCCTTGGAGCGTGCAGTCACTTCCGCGTTCCACCGTGGAACGCAAGGAACCTCCCCTTCAGGTAGGGAAACGTCCCACGTGACGCGGCCGCTGCGTTCCACGCTGGGACGCAGACGGCTCACGGACAGTACGGACGTTACACCAACATAACACCCCCAAAAAATTATCTGGAGCCATCCCTGTATCCAGCCCAACTTTTGAAATGCCAAGGGTAGCACACAGTTACTCACAATCAGGCACAGATTGCTGCTGATGCACAGTGATACCGGACTAGCACACACCAACCTACTCTACAACCTACAAAGACACACAAAGAACCTTCTAGACATGCAACTTAACTCTATATGACTTCTGCAAACAAAAATATAACACACCAGAGGTAGCGTGTTTGGTTTGTTTTATTACGGCTGATTGCTAAGATAAATATATATTTATTTACTTATGCATGCTTTTTACTGCTTGAAATTATGGAGTTACATTATTCCGAAATACAGAGCTATTATGTGACATTGAAAACTCAGACTCAAGCAGTGATTTTTCACTGTGCATGAATTGGTTTTCTTGCTGGGGTTTTATAATGCAAAGTAGCCAGGTTATTAAGTGATGGATACAGTATAAAGATATGCACTCAAGGTTGGAAAATTTTGCTATATATATATATCGGCAATTGTAAGCCTTTACTTGATGGCTCTTTTGACTACAAAATTTAAAAACATTTGGGGATATTTATCCCAGCATGCTATATTCTGATATGTATTTTCATACTGATTTGCATTTGCAGTGATCTGTGGCAGCATCTCATTAGCAAGTTTCACCTGCACATGTGGAAGCAGTCATTACATTGACAACTTTAACAAACTCTCTGGATAACAATGTGCTCCAGGCAGGTATGCAGGTATGTATAAAAAAAAGAATGCAGCCAATCACTAGGCCCGAGCACAGTCACATGACTGAGGGAGTTATGTCACTGCTTCCCCAGGTCGGCCATTTCAGTGCCAGCTGTGGAGGAGCAAAAAGCTGCAGTGTTGTAGCATGAATCTGAATATTGGTGTTGTGGAACCAGGGGTGCCCTCTTACCTGGGGTCCGGCCGGCACAGCGGAGATTGTAGGGTCTTTCTTGGCGTGATTTGGTGCCAGGCGGTGGCTGGTTGCAGGTGCCCGCATCTGTGCGTACGTGCACGTGATGCGCGTGTGTGACGTACGGGCGCACGTGACATTGCCATGGCCTATTAGTCACCCCAGGTGCTGATCATTGCCAGGGAGGGCCTTGCAAGCACACCTTCTCTCCTAGCCATCCCATTGGTTCCCAGGGACCTGTAGCTTCCTTGTTGCCCAGGCAACAGGGGCGTTTCTGGTCCCTGCTGGGTTTAAATTCCAGCCAGAGCCAAGACTTGTTGCTGAGCTATTCTGCCATATCCAAAGCAGCTATGAATCCTCATCTCCTGTTTTCCTGTTTCCTGCCTTCCTTCCCCGCAAATTTGGATCTCCTGGTTATCGACCCCTGGCTTGTCTCCCCATTTATGATACTTGCTGCCTGCGTCAACCTGGACTATACTCTGACAATGCATTTTGGATTTTTTTCTATTTTGTACCTCAGCCTGGACTCTCCATCTGGTATTGTTCCCTGCTATTGGGTTCCACTCCAGCAAACAGAGGGACTCCGCTCCCTTCCTAACAATTGGCAAACTACTTGATCTAACTATTTGATTGCTGCATGTACAAGCATTATTTTGTGAAGATTAATTTTCATGACTAGTTCAGGGGGTCGTTCCTAGAGCTATATTTTGTAAAATCACTCCATGTTTCAGGAATAATTTTATTGCTGTCAGAGCCTTCTTGTCTTAAAACAAGAAGACAAGAAGGCTCTCTAGTATTAAACCCTTGGAGGCAAACACATTTTTCCCTTTAGCAGCACAGTACAATAAATTATTGTTAGTTCTTTTATACTTATTTTGCCCAAAAGGCTCACATTTTTTTTCCCTCTACCTCTGCTATCCATACGCCTCCTCACAGCACTTCCCCGAGCATCAGGACAGGGAGCACGCACTGCTCACAGTCAGGTGACCTACCCACGGCCTCTCACAATTCCTTGCAACCCACCCCTTTACATGCCTGTATGCATTTTCTGCTTGCTGGTTGGTTTGGTGGTGCCCGTGCATGTCAGCACACAGTCCCAGCCAGGAGCGCGCATTTAAGGGGGCATGGTAAACAAATCGCTGTGGATTTGCGGCTGGCAACGGTGAACGGCAGGGTATGTCGTGTTTGGCTCACACATACAGAAAAAAATTGACTCTGCCATGTTTCATTCATTGCCTGGAATGCAATCAGCTAAAAATAAAGGTGAGTGTTTAATACTCATTTAAGGCTATGTGTTTTTTACCCAATGCATTCTCTGCACCAAGGTAAAAACACCCAGTACCTTTCCATGCACCCCACCCCCAAACTCTTATCTGCGCCTGCTCCTGTCTCTGCCAGGAACACGCACACAGGGGTGGGTTGTCTCATTTACAACCTGTTAGGCGTGTTTGCGTGGGTTTCCTCTGGGTACTCTGCTTTTTCCCACACCCCAAAAGACATGCTGGTAGGTTAATTGGCTCCTGTCTCAAATTGGCCCTGTGTGCATGTGAGATAGGAAACTTAGATTGTAAGCTCCTTGAGGGCAGGGATGTGAATGTGCAGTATGTAAAGCGCTGCGTAAATTGTCGGCGCTATATAAATACCTGAAATAGGAGACACCCGCAAACAGGAGGAGAGGGCAGCAGTTTGGCAGCAAAAAAAATCAATAAAATTAAGAAATTTTAAACAAAAAAGTAAGCCTAATAATTAGATGTGAACTGTGCTGAATTAAAAAAAATAAGGGTTTAATTTCACTTTAAGTATATGCAAAATGTAACAGTTATTTGAACTCACAACATGACAAGTCGGGGTCTTCCACTTACCCGGACAGAACACCAAGAACTAAGTTGAGCACGAAGAAAGATCCTATGATAATGAGAGGGATGAAATACAGCCAGTTCCAAGTGGGTCCTAAGGCATCATTGGTCTATAGAGAATCAGAAAAAAAGGAAGTGAATAGAAATATCATGAACATATTCAATTGGTGAATGTAAATAGATTTCATTCTAAGACCATCTTATATTTTCGAAGGCAGCTCTGTTAAAGCAAGTCTGTTGCAAAAAAAAATAAAAAATAGACAATTAAGTAGGCTTGTAAAAGTACAATAATGCTATAGTCCTTCCACTGGTGAACGGAATCTTCTCTTGCAGCCTGCAAAACCTTCCAGGTGGGTGGTGTAGCACAGCGGAACGACACAAGATTCCAGCAGGACCGGTAAATAGTTTTATTGTACTTTTAAGGCAGAACTGCAGGATTTTGGAAAGCTAACCCTTGCAGTGGGGCCACCCCCACACTGTAAAGGTTAGGTGCTTGTTTTGTCTAGAAGAAATACTCACCTGATCCTTGGTTCCGCCTGGCTGCTAGACCGCCTGACTTACACCATCATGTCTAATGCAGGTCTATTGGATGTTAAGACGTTGAGTGACATACTGCAGCCAAAGTGGAGGGGGAGAGAGGTGAGGGGTCACTGCCACAGCACTGAGGATCGGGTGAGTATTCCTTCTTTATTTTCTCTTCTAGAGAAAAACAAGCAGTTAACCCTTGCAGTGCAGGGGTTGCCCCACTGTAAGGGTTAACTTTTCAAAGTCACATTCAAACTTCCGTGGGAGGCTTTAATCATATTTGATGCGGTGATAAACTTATTAGAACTGGCATTTTTTACAACATGTTTTACTATATATGTGTGAGAAAAACTGATGAAGGTGTTCCAGCATTACCAGCTGGTGTGTTTCAGGATCAGCAGATCTCAGATGTATTTGCATGTTGAAGAAAACTGAACTAACTGCTCTTTGCAAGTACTTTTACATCCACTGCACAACAGTCTGACCATGGTCCACAAAGACAATTCTTAACACACTATACAAGTATATAATTATATTTACATAATAGACCTCTCTTCTAGCCATTCATTAGGATACACCTAAGCTGAACTGTATTTGCTGAAATGTTTCCTTTAAATGGTATTTATGGTCAAAAACTAAAAAAATAAATAAAAATAAAAAAATGTATTTTTATATTGAATTTCCATAAATTCTATCCCACTTCTAATAACCATATCATTCTAGAAGTTTGCAAATCTACTTATAAAGATCCCCATAGGACGTACTTCCTCAATGCACTGACACAATTTCACGCAGTCTTGTGTATATGCAATTCCTTTGTCACAACTCTTAAGCTGCCCATACACCTTACAACCATTGCACGACTTTCGTTGTGCGATGGTTGTAAGGTGATTAAAATTCCGTACGATCTGCCCATCTTGGCTAGGCAGATCATACTTGCGATCATCGCAAGCCCTCCCCGCTGAGGCGAGGGCTTCCGATGATTGCACTGCTGAGCGGGCAGTGTGCACTTGCGCACACCTGTCCGTGCGGCATTTGTGTTCCGAGCACGCCACCAACCCGCCGAAAATCGTGCGATTTTCGGCAGGTTTTCCAGCATGCTCGGAAGACGAAAGTCGTGCGACCTTACAGTAGAAGCGGTCGCACACTGCCCATACACCTGACGATTATCATACGATCGCGGGATCACCCACGATTATCATACGATAATCGGCAGGTGTATGGGCACCTTTACAGAGCTTACCTCCTGAACTACAGCTCAATGTTTGCACAATGTCACACCATTATTTCTTGCTGGAATCAATGCATCATGAGTATGTAGTCTTGAGAAATCAAGATTGCATCACATCAAGCAGCAGGAAAAGAGAATTCAAGAACATTGAGAATCCAGGAAGTTGTTGGAAGTGATGGGCAGACACAGAGAGGTAACTAGAAACTTCACGGCCCTGGTGCAAGAAACCATGAAGGGCCCCCCCACCACCACGGGAAGGCATTAAAAGGAGGCAGCCGCTGCATTTTTAAAATTTAGTGCCGTTATGTGCGTTTAGTATCAGGGCATTTTCCTGAGTACTTGTGAAAATGCCCAGTATTGGCACTGGTGCTTCCCTACTTAATAATAATCTAATGTATTGCTGGGACTGCATATTTGGTGCCATTCTACATTGCTGTATAATCATTATACAGCTATGCAGAATAGCACCAAATATGCACCAATTTCCTTCTGCATTGCTGTATAATCATTATACAGCTATGCAGAATACCACCAGCTATGCATGACTACAAGTCCTAGCAATACAGTATGCAAAATACCACCAGCTTCTCAATCCC